CAAGTTTACATCCTATTCTTATGCATGCCAGTGCTGTGTGTGAGGTCATTTAAGGCGGTTCTGACAAGTGTTGTCGGCATCTTCATATCCGGTCACATGGGCGGCAAGCCACTCCCATCCGGTCACATGGGTGGCAAGCCACACCCACAGAGTAGGTTCGAACAATTTTTGACACCCACCACTGAATAGAACCATATATAAACTGTGCCTCACTAAGCCTGTTACAGAGCACAGTTTTCTTCCACATCATCTCCGTTTGCCAGGATATGCAAAACTTCAGATGCTTCTTTTTCCTTTTCTTAAAAAAGAAAAATAGCCAGGATACATTTCTTTTTCCAGATTTTAATCATTAATCAATTTTGATTTTAAAAAATCTATGTATTTTTAACAAGTTCCCGTTTGTATTTTAATTCTTGTCTCAATGTGGAAATGCCAGAGTTCAATATAAGTCTGCAAATGTTGTGCTCAAGTCAGTTACAAGCTTCACATTCTTATGATGTCCACTGTTTGCTTTCTGCATACTTGAGGGAAGAACTTTTGGCATTTTTAATTACTTAAGCTTCGTGAAGAAAACAGTTTCTTAAGTTTAGAATACACAGAATCTTGTATTTGATTTGAGTACTTTCAGAGTTCCTGTAGTCTTCCTCTCAGTGTTTCTTGACCTTGGAATCTGTAAGACATGTTGATTTCAACTCCCAGAATTCTGGAAACTTAAGATTGCATGTATTAAAATTGCTAAGAAACACTGCTCTACCAGTGGCGGGATTCATTTTTTTTTACTACTGGTTCTGTGGGCATGGCTTGCTGGATTTGACAGAGGAAGAATACTGTAAAATCTCCATTCCCTCCCCACTCCAGTGGAAGGATACTGCAAAATCCCTATTTCCTCCTAATCAGCTGGGACTCAGGAGGCAGAGAATAGATGGGGGCGGGGATAGTCAGAGGTGGTATTTACCGGTTCTCGGAACCACTCAGAATTTCCGTTACTGGCTCTCCAGAACTGGTCAGAAGCTGCTGAATACCACCTCTGCGCTCTACATAATGTAGTTAGAAATACAATTTTGTGTCAAAATAAATTCTCCCCCTCAAAAAAAAAAACTGTTAAAGTTCTAACTTATTTGTTAAATTATACTTGCATAGAATCAGCTTCTCATCTGTATGTACTGTTAGATTGAATTTATGAGTGCTTGGAGCCATATAGGCATGCTAAGAAATGCACCATCTTTTTATTCTTTATCTCCTCATATAGAGATTGAAAGAGCTGAAACAAAGGGAATTTGCACGAAATGTGGCTTCAAAATCCTGGAAGGATGAAAAGAAGCAGGAGAAAGCTCTCAAACGACTTCATCAGCTGGCTGAGTTGCGGAAGCAGTCAGAATGGTGCGTCTTTGGAACTAATATTACATCTTAATCTTGCCTCTTTTTTTCCCTGATAGTCCCAGGAGAAATCTTCATGGCTTTACTTCTACTTTATATATCACAGAGAATTTTCTTCATCCTTCATGCCAACACCCTTATTGTACAAACAATAAAATTGGAAGCCCTGCAATAATTCCTTGGCATTTGAATGTTGGACTTTTTACCCTCTTTCTAATCTCTGTGAAATTACTTTAATAGTGCTGTGATGAATTTTTCAGAATAAACATTTTATATGCCACAAATAAAGGAGAAGACGTCTGGCTAAATATTCCCTCTCCCACAATAAACTGTTTTACTCTTAGAAGAGAATATTTGTAGCTCAGAGTTGAACCTAGGGGTCCTTGAAACTTTCTGAGTTTGTGGTTTACTTGCAGATGTTTCATTACCAAACTAGGTAACAACATCAGTTTTGAAATAAAACTTCTTCAAAAACAACAACAATACTACCACACCCAAAGAAATCTAAAGATCCCAATGTTTTACTCTTCCTGTTCCTGTTTGTAGCCCCTCCCAATACATTTTTTTGATTTTTTTAAAATTCTTCTTGCTTTCTTGCCTAGGCAAGGATTATTTCCTTAGTGATGATCACATAGCTAATCAGATTTGATTATGTGATGGTCACAGTGAAAAGCCCAGATAGCCCATTGCTTAGGGATGGGTAATCAGTTTAATAAAGAATTTTTATAAACATCATTTACCTTCCTAAATGGGATGGAAAGAAAAAATCCTAATTATTTCAAATTGTAGATAAGATTAATGAGTTGATACATTCTTCCAAAGAGGCAGAGGATTTGTGTTTCATTCTTCAATTAGCTTGACACTTGCCATATTTGTAGTCCTAGATTTACAGTATGGGTCTTTACAGTCTAGGAATCTTTAATAGCTACAAGTGGCAAGTGGCAATAACATGGTCCCATCCATGCTGAACACACTTGATTTGAATATTATTTGTTAAGATATTATCAATTTTTACAAAATTGTTACAAAGAGACAGAAAGATTTTGAGATTTTAAACAATTTTGATTGTTGTACAAAATCAAATTGAATTGTTCTCACCGAAAATGTAGAGGAAGAAAGGAATACATTGGGCCACCATCTTGTCTTCTTCTCCTAATGCTGTACTCCTTATCATAATACATGTCCATAATATTTCATTTCACTGAGCCATGATGGCGCAGTGGTTTAGAATGCAGTATTGCAGGCTAATTCTGATGACTGTCAGCAATTCGATTCTCACTGGCTGACTCATCCTTCATCCTTCTGTAGTCAGAAAAATGAAAATATTGTTGGGGACAATAGGTTGACTCTGCAAATTGCCTAGAGAGACCTGTAAAGCACTGTGAAGCACTATATAAGTGCTATTGCTACTAGTGCTATTTTCAATGCCCATCAAAGTAGCTCAGCTTGGTAAGAAATACTGGATATACTGTTTCAGCAATGGGGTGATTTATTATTTACATCACTGACAATCAAAACAATCAATTGGCCATCATACCTCTTACTGCTTTCCAAAGCTGATGTTTCCCGAATGGCTTTTAGTATAATTCCCAGCAGTCATAGCCAATGTATCTGAGATGAGATCAAGAGGACAGAATGTATAATTTTACAAATGTGAAGGATACCATATTGGAAAAACATATGTATGTATATTAATAAACTATGATTATATTTTCAAGTCATGAAATGTTAACTGAAGACTGTAAAAGGTCTTACAAGATATCATACATGCAAAAAAAAAAAAGATTTTACAACAAACCAATGCTGAGTTAAGTATTAAAATACAGACATCATAAAATTCTGATCCAAAACTTCTTCCATTTGCAAAATTTCTACAAGTTTATAGCCTTTTAGTTCACTACTATTAGAGATATGGATGAAGTTGTTCATAGTACTAGAATAAAAAGCAAAGCTTTGTCAGTAAAAGCAGTGAGGATAGTAATGTATGTAGATTTTTGTAGATTTGCACATTTCATTTTCGGGCACATCTTTACTAAACTATACATGCCTATAGTTCAGCTCATTGGGCTGCACATCCTATCTACTACATTAATTCAGGCTTCAGTGAACCTTCATGGCATGCTGTGTTCATTAACTACCTCAAATGGAATGAGACCGAAGACACCATGTTTATGTTGATTGTGACCAGTTCAGCATGTTATTATTACATTCTTTCCAATGACATATTGGGTCCTGATGGTGATGAATTCCATTTCATTATCCTAATTGCCCAGGCTAATACTTTCTAACAGAGTATGCTGAAAATTAAATTCATTTTAACTTAAGTTGTTTTCATTATATTATTTATTTCTAGTGTTGCCGGATGCAGACCCATGTTTAAAAGTCCCCAGGTAGTTGTAGAACAACCACAGCAACAAGCACAAGACACTTTTCTCTTAGCTCAAGAAGACAATGCCAAGACTGCAGATGAAGCGAAAAGCTCCACCAGCCACCATTCAGAAAAGCTACAGGAACCTTTGCTAAACAAGGATCAATCGTGCATAGAGAGACACCGTTTGCTTAAAAACCATATGTCTCCAGCATTCCCCTGCAGCATGAACGCTTGTAACAGGACAGGGGTGTCCTTTTCCTTTTCTAAAAAAGTCCACTTGAAGCTTGAGTCATCAGCATCTGTCTTCAGTGAGAATGTGGAAGAAGCACATGACCACATTGGGTCACCAAAGCAAAAATTGAATCAAGCTGCCAAGGAATGTTACACTTGCACACATATGAGTAGCAAAAGGAAAACCAATGTGCAAAAGAGATTAAGCACACTTCAGGACCAGCGAGACAGCCCGGAATTATACAATCTGGCTGGAAAAAATAAACCACATAAAGAAAATAACCATAACCGCAACAGAGAATCATTGGAAACTCACCTTCCATTTTATAAGGAGAAACAGCATTCTCTAGATTTGGAATGTCCCAGCTCTCCTGACATAAAATCAAGACAGTTGGTCAAGACACGGAAATCTATACAAAGTTTCGTCACATCTCAATGCCAACCTACCAGTGCTTGTCTACAGCAAACAGATTACAGACACAGCAACATCTTGCTAACAGAATGTGACTCTGAATTTTCAGGCCAACAGTCATCTGAAGGAGAACATTCATGTGCAATACACTTTAATCCCTGTATATTCAAATGCTCTCCCGATTCTTCAAAAAATTTGGCTTCAGATAACGAAACATCAAAAAATGATGGTTTGGTTCATGAAATTAAGCCTAAAACATTTCCTTTTCTTCACGTACTGAGTAAAGATGGCAGTAAAGCCTTCCATTGGCCCATAGAACTTCTTTTGTTTACAAAAACACAACCTTCTATTTCTTATGGCTGCAATCCATTATATTTTGACTTTAGACTTCCCATATCCAGTAAAGACAATGGGCAGCATGAAGTCAATCCAGATATTTCTATAGAGTATTCAAGAACTATGGATATAGATGAAAATCATGTTTTGGATCTTACTAAGAAGCAGCAATTGTCCATTAGAAAAGATAACATTTTAAAGCCAAAGAAGAACAGTGCTCTGTATCTCAAAAAGTGTCAGCCAAAATTATATAAAGAGAAAGAAAATAAAATAAATTGTACTGCTCCAAAGTACATTTCAGATGATTTGAATGAAAATATGCCCAATGTGCCTGCTCACCTTGATTGCTCACAAAGGCATTGTACAATAGCAACAAGTCACCATACAGAAATGTGTATGAGATCTTTAGCACAACACTTTCATAACTGTGAAACAACGACACAGGATGAAGTTGGTGAAAATGTTTGCATTTATCCTTTGGCGTCTAGGGCAAAAAAGGAAACATGTGGAAAATGTGATTTAATGTATTCCCAGGAGCAAACCAATCTGGATTTGGTCACTTGTACAAGTAACATAAACGAAAGTGGAAAAGATATGCTTCTTGGTTGTAAGTTAGACTGCCCTGATGAATGCTTAGAAAAGGAAAACAATGTGAGTTTTGCTAATGATTTTTGGAAATTCTGCCCTTTGCAAAAACCCTGGTCTGACAGACAGTCTAATTATTCTGACATCTCCACCAATAGTGAGAGTAGCGACACAAGTTGCTACTGTAATCATAGATCAAACAATCATAGTAGAGGTAATCTTCCTTTTTGTTGCAAAAGGAAACACAAGTCAATTGGAAGACAGAAATGTAAACACCAAAAGCACAACTGCATTTCCTCTTCTGATGAAGCAGACGTGGACTGCTTTATCCACAAAAAAAGCCAGCGCCCTGCAGATTGTACTCAGAGGAATACAATAAAATGCCAGCGATATTTGAGATATGGGCACTTGCTACAAAGAGAAAGAGCAAAGCAAAGTAGAAATAGATACCCTGTCTGTAAACACAGTAGAAGCAGATGTACCAGCTCCCAAGGTTCTTGCATCCATGATTCAGGAAACAGTGACACATCATCAAGTTCCACTCAATCTAGAGGTAACAATTCAGGATTGTTGATGAAGGAATCAGTGAATATCTGGAACAAACACAAAAAGACTATGAGAACAGGCGAAGAAAAAAAACCCTGCTCTGCTCATTCAGAGAACCAGAATGTGAACTATTCCTCTAAGCATAAGCATGGAATTTGCTCTGTCAACTGGTTAGAAAATGAAGCAGCAAGACAGAAGTCACTAACTGCCAAGCTACTTTTGCAAAAGGTAAAATCCAAAAGAAGCCAGGGGCAAATTGGAAGCACTGGGAGCTTTTCGGAGGCTTGCAGGATAGATGCCCCCTGTAATGTGCCTGGCACATCTTCCATGGAGAGTGAAACAACACTGCCTTCACAGGAGAACAAACACAGTGCTGACATGAACTGTGTGTGGAATCATGAAACTGGGGAAGTGGAAAACAACACAAACCAAGGTTTGACCCTAGATAATATTATGGGTGACACTACCTACAATAATTGCCTGCTCCAAAACTTAATTCAAAGAGGAACCACCTACCAAACCCTAAATATGGAAGCCAGCACAACAATAAAAGAGAAGACAGATCACTTAACCGATGAAACACAAGTTCTTCTGCCAAGCTATGATCCAATGACAGGTGATTTTCCTGGTGCTTTTGTTTCTCATAGGTATTCTCTTGCTCCAAATTTTACTGACACCAAAGAAGAATACAATGCAAGGGCTGACTTGCATCAAGCAGAAGAGGAGCTAAACTATTTCCCTGACAACACTATGCATAAATTCAATGAAACAGAATATGAGACTGACCTTTATAATAAGTGCATCTCCCCCCCTTTGTCACAACATCCTATAATATTTTCCCCTGATGAAATAGATAAATACAGGTTTCTACAGCTACAGGCCCAGCAGCACATGCAGAAACAACTTGTAGCAAAACATCTCAAGGTTCTGCCTACTACTGAACCAGCCACATTCTCTGCATCTCCAGCAGTTCAGCCTGTTCCAATCCAGCAGCACACTTCTGTTGCCACCCTCCACCAAACCTTTTTGCAAAGCTTGGCTTTGTCCAATGGGACTCATCCACACAGCAGTAATCTAACCCATATACATCCATTCTCACAGGCTCACCTTGCGCCCGTATCAATTCCGCCATTTGCTTCAACCTTCTTGCCAACTCACGCAGCACTATTGTCTGGTTATCCTTTCCACTTGGTATCAGCCACTCCTATTCATCCTGTCACCCAACTGGCAATCCCATCCCTGCCTCCTACTGCCTTTATTCCTACTTGGTTCACTCCACCACTGAATGCAACTGCATCTTCCACAATGCATTTCAATCCTTTAATTCATCCATTTTTCCAGGGGCAGAAACTTCCACCTTATTCTTGAATGTGGCATGCACACTGGTTCTCTGAAATGAGTGGGGGGGGAAGTAAGTTAAAAAATATAGTTAAATAGCAAGGTCACTGTCCTACATTCCAAAAAGCAATTTAGAATGGAAAGTCCCATTTAGTAATGTAATTGTTTTCCGTATGAGAAGTCATGGTTTATATACTCCAAATATATCAAGAATGCTGAGCAAAATCAAAGTTGGGCTGACACAGCACATAAATTTGATCATTAAACTGTTGAGAAGAAAGTTATTTGTCACAAAGCCATGTCTACTTCTTACTGCAGCCTTTTGCAATTTGGCACAGTCCAGATGCAATTTGACTGCAGCTTCCAAAATTCCCAAACTATTTGGAAGATGCCTGATTAGGAGGTATTGTCTGACAACTCCTTTTAAGGGTTAGCATGGTCTTTGCACTATAGTAGGTATTTTATTTTTTAAAAAAAATCTATATGTACTTTCAAAAAAAGATTCATGCAAGAACCTTGGAAAGCTTTTGGAGTACATAAACTCCCTATTCTCCCATCACCATTCAACTGACAGCACATAACTGATCTTAAGCAATGCAATTTTTATTGTTCTTTTAAAAAATGCAATAAAAATGAAATAAGTACCCAACTCGCCACAGAAATACAGGCTGAAATTCCCCCTCCCCCTTCAGGGACAAGATTGCATCCATGCTCTTGCTTAATCAAAGATGTGTGGTCCACAATCAAAAAATCGGGTCTCTTTCTCCACATGCTTGCATTTAAAAAATCAATAAAGACACCACAAAAGCAACCTTCACTGCTTATCATGAAATTGTGCACACATCTAAAAGGAGCAAAACTTTCCTGCTGAACACTTCTGTTTAGCTTCCAAGTCCGGAAAGATTACTAAGGTGTTTCCAGGAATGCTCAATCACTTGTGGCCTTTTATGCTAAAAACAAAATCTAGTTTTTTCTTGTCCAGAAAGATTCATAATCACTGATTCAGATTAGCAGCCTGTGAATATAATTACATTACAAATGTACTTATACATTAAGATTACAAATGTGGTCACAGATTCTTCGACTAAACTATGCTTTTCAAACTGTGTTGGATTCTCACACACACACACACCAATTCCTAGTTTCCAGTTCAGACTTTAAACAAAGATTATACGGAACAAATTTTGTGAGGCTTGTATCTATTAAAAATCAACTGAACCATTATATATAGAAATCATTTGTTATTTTGGTATGTTTGCATTTCTTTTAAGTTGAAGCTGTATATATGAATATATATTGAGATTATTAATTTAATTTAATTGTTTTTAAAATTATGTGGTTCCGGATGTTGCTAAGGACAACTATTAGAAATTACCCCAATAGGCTAAAAGAGTAGAATAGAAATATTTCATAGTTTTGTCCAATCAGAAAGAATTTTTCACTACTGGTAAGATCCAAAACTAGGTACTGCAGATTTTTAACCAGATTCAAGGTTAGTTTATGGTTTTAAAAGACAAAAAATAGTCCTTTATATTTTATAATTTCCTTTACTTAAAATAGCCATCGAACTTACTATTTGACCATCTTATATAAGGGAAATTTAAAACATAAAGTGACTGAAATTTTAAACAAATCACCTGCCGCTAGATATATGTCCCTTCTCTTGTCATGAACTAATCTAACAATTAGAAGATTGAATGTACATTCAGCTATTCAAATTGGCTTGTGTTCTGATATGCTGAAAAATCTTGACCCCAGTGCAAAATGCAATTCCATGCTGATCTCACCATAAGTTGGTAGAAAATAATTGCTTTGTAGTGACATAAAAGTGATTAGATGAAGCTAACCAATGAACTATGATGGTTTTCCTGTTAATTAAATTATATATGTAATTCTGGACACAGCTATTTGTTATTGCAAAAAAGATAAAAATATAAAAATCATAAATATGCCATTTGATTCATTTTTCAAGTATTTCATTTCTTTAAAAACTAGTTTTCTGGCTAAAATGCTATATAATTATTCTGTTTTTTTATTCTCTATAAAAGGTTTTATATTATACAGTAGCTATGTGAATTGCACTATTGAACATCAGATGCAGCTTTTTTTTAGTTAATTCAAGTTTTCTTGGGAATGTAGTTTTATGCAATAAAGTTTTTCAATAAAAGAAATGATATAAAGAGCGTTGGTAATGCATTTTTTAAATATCATATGTAACAATGGGACAAAGATATTTTTATTTAATTCAGGACTTGAATGCATTTTATTTATCCAAACTGTAATGTTGGTTATTAATGCTATTTCCTTTTAACAACAAAAACAACAACAATAATACTTGGAGACAACAGAATAGAAGAAAACAAACTGGAGAAAAATCATAAAAATACAAAGACCTGCAAATAGAAATAAAAAGATTTTTTTTAAAATTTCAAATCATACCTTGGCAAAGGAAATCAAAGGTAGCTCCAATAGCAAAGGAACCTGGAGCATCTAAAACACCATTTGAACACCATCAACGTTAACAAAGTTATCATCAGCCAATTGCAAAAGAAAAGCTTACATTCTGTGATGATACATTTAACACCATCAACCAATGACATCTACATTTCCTGGGTCCATTGGGAAAAAAAATGATAGTTGGATAAAAATGCCAAATCAATCTAAACATCTATTTGACTGTGCACCCAACCATAATCATAACAATATGCTATTTGGAATGGGTATTATACATTCCATTGACACTAATAATATAGCCAATAAAACGCAGTTGTGTATAGATCCAATAATTATAGTATTACCTCCTGCCATATTCTCATACATAATGATGAGCAGTATCCTAGAAAAATAATCCTCAGCTTGGTTGCTTTTCAACTTTGTAGACTTCAATTTCTAGATTTGGAGGGGGGGAGTTCCTTTGAGTAAAGTTTTTTTATGACTGGTAACTGCCTGGGTGGGTCCCTGCAGTTTTCTTGGCAAGATTTCAGAAGCGGTGTGCCATTGCTTCCTTCCTGGAGCCTTCTTGATCCTTGGACACGCAGCCAGCTTTGTGCCTATAACGGGACTATAAATCATGATCTCCTAGTTCCTAGCCTGATGTTATAACTGCTATACAAAATTGTCTCCATCAACTATAATGTTCAACTACAACATACTGTCTGGCAATTATTGCAGTTAGAGGGCCCACATACCACAGTATTGACTCCGTGCCAACAAATTATCTCATTTTAGTTTCACAAACAGTAGATGTTAAACACAAGCAGAAGGAATATAGACCTTGAGGAACTCCATAAGGAAGGACTAAGACCAGATCTCTTTCCATTCAATGCCAACTGAAGGTCCCAAAGGTAGAAGGAGAATCATTGGAACATACTATCTATCCTTCTTAATTTGTGAACCAATCCAGAAGGACACTGGAGATATCAAGAAGAGCTAGCGTGGATGGACGGTTCTACCAAAAGTAATCTACACATAAATCAATATCTTCTTGATACTGTACACCAGTCAAGCACCTGAAAAGGATCCAGATAATCTACTTTTTCAGGCATTTAAAGCAACCAACTTCTCAACTTCTAAAAAAGAAGGTTGGAAATTCAGTGAAAATTGTATAACACTAACAAATCCAGGGATGACCTTCTTGAACAAAGGATAAACAACCACCTCTTCATAAACTGGAGTACCCCATCATCCTCCCTTCACAACATTGCATTCATCTAACTACGTGAAAGACCAATCATAAGTGACATTAATATAATATTCAGGTACTTGTATTTCCATCATTGAGAACTCTGTCATTCCTTTGGGACCAACAAGCTTAAATTCTTCCCCATAATTATGCTATAACATTCTTCAGTCAGCTCCAAAGGACTTGCACAGCCAGAGTCCAACTCAAAGTGGATCTAAATAACTTTCTCCACCAGTGGCATTGCATACACACACACACACACACACACACACACACACACACACACACATAATTGAATGGAACAATTGTTCTTATCACCATCAGGTAATCCTTATGAAATCCTAATGTAAATCTCTTACCTGTACTCTATCAGATTCATTTTTCAGATTCCTTCAGGCAAACTCCAGGCATCCCTTCTGCCATTTTGTCTCCTGGAATTTCTAAGGGCAAGGAAGTTCTCTGTAACTCAAAAGTGTGATATAATGATAACTATAAATGTTAATAGTATTTAGTGTCTGTTTAAGTAGTACTTGGCCAATTCACACACTTTCAAAACTCCAAGAAAGTTGGTATGTATGTATGACTATCAACTATTTATATTCAGAGTTCTCTGGTAAGCTTCATCGCTAATAAGGAACTTCCTCATCTTATATTATAAGCATTGATGTTTCTTTTTAATTTCAACAGTAAAATTTCAATTTCAACTGTACAACTGCAGTGAGGAGGCATAAACCTACCAGAATCCAAATCCTGCATGGTGGTTTAGGAAAAAATATTTATTTATTATCAGTCCTTGGATTTAACAACAGTCTAATGACCTTATCAGAAAGATTGGAATTGCTTTTCAAATATTCTCTAGCCAAACTAATGATAGTAAAGTGATTTTATGACTTGTATATAAAGTCATCAAAACAGAATAAAAATAAAATGTTTGATAGCCTTTCAGTGATGTGACCATGCACACCTAAAATTAAATGGCATATTAAATCAATACTGAATTTTGCTAAACCATTAAGCTTTCAGTAACAAAGTGTGGCCATGGATTCTTTGAAAGCTTGGTGTGCATTTAGTATTGAAGAGAACAATTGTAACACATTGACAGAGACCGTGCAAGCTTTTATGGGTCTTTTACTATATCTAATGATTTGCAGAGACAAGAACTTCTATTTACAAAATGTCACTTTTGCAAACCTCTTTCTCAGTAAAAAGGTAAAGATTCCCCTGCACATGCATGCTAGTTGTTTCCGGCACTAGGGGCAGTGCTTATCTCCATTTCTGAGCTGAAGAGCCAGCGCTGTCCGAAGACGTTTTCCGTGGTCATGTGGCTGGCATGACTTAGTACTATTCACTAATAATTACTCTTTCTTTTGCTTCTTCAGTTCCCTCCCTTTTCCTCCTTCTCTGCCTTCCATGTCTTCCTAATAGGAAGAAAATTACTGCAGAATATGGTCCATGAATCTTGCCTTCTTGGATTTCATCAGTCAACTTTGCATAGATGTTGTGTTTTGCACCTCCCTCTGCCTACCCTACCAGCCATTTCTCTCCTTTCCTATCTACCCTTGATCTTGGGAATTCTTCTATCTGGGATTTCACTTCTTTTCTGCCAATGGAAGCCTTGAATTGACTTTCTCATTCCCTTCTCCTTCTCAGGGTGAGAAAATCACGACTGCATGAGTAAACTCTCCCACACACTTAATGTGGTTTCTTTCCAGTCAAAATGTCTAAGACGATCTTTTCAACAATTTACAATAATTGCTGAAAGGGGTGATGTATATTTCTTTTTCTTTTCTTTGCAGGTCAGACCAACAGTATATTCCTCAACAATAAAAATAGTGGCCTCCCCTCCAGGCCTTTATTCCCCAACACCTATGCTGTATATGGGGCATGAATCCTGTTTCCATCTGCCCCATAACAATCCTGGCTAGCAAATCAGATCAGTTCATAAATCATTGTGACAGCACACCTGCCCTCAAAGACCATATCTGGACTTCTCCCCTTTCTCTCTCCTTCTGCTGACTCATGACTGCACCCATAGCAGCCAAATCAGACCATTAAAATCCATCATAATTCAGAACAATTAAAA